TGGCTGCAGCGTCGCCTTCCACATCTCGCTGCGCGGCGACAGAGCCCGCTGCCACTGCTCGCCTGTCCCACATCGCATTCGCAGCGTTGTAGCTCACTACGTCGGGCTCCCACGTCGCGTCCAATATCTATCTAAGCAGCGACAAAGCCCGCTGCCGCTGCCCGCTCTTCTCGCACGCCCGACCCCAGCGTTGTAGCTGATTCGGTTGGTCTCCAGCTTCGCGTTCGACACTCGCGGAGCGAACGTGGAGCCTGAGACCACTGATACCTTTCACGCACGTGCTATTGCCAGCGCTGTATCTGATGACGTCTGGCTCTAATTTCGCCTCTCGAATCCCGCTGAGCAGCGACAGTGCCTGCTGTCACTGGCCGCCTGTCGCGCGCGCGCTGATCGCAACGTTGTAACCGATGGCGTCTGGCTCCACTTGCGCGGCACGAACTCGCCAATCAGGGGCAGTGCCTGATGCCATTGTGCCTTTCAAGCACACTCTGATCCCACTGCTGTAACTGATCGCGTTGTGCTCCACTGCCGCCTGACACATTGTACTGGGCAGCGACAGGGCCTGCTGCCAGTGTCCACCCTTCTCGCAGCGTTGTCCCAGCGCTGCAACTGATGACGGCGGGATCCAACTTAGCTTCCCACGTGCCGGCGAGTAGCGCCAGAGCATGCAACCATTCCCCGTTTTCCTGACACTCATTGATTCCAGCGTTGTAGCTGACAACGTTCCGCTCCACCTCCACTTCTGACATCCCACTGAGCAGCGACAGTGCGAGTTGCCATTGCTCACCCCTGGCGCACGCGCTGATCCCGCTGTAGCTCATAACGTCCAACTCGCACCTCGGGTCCCGCAGCTCGCCGAGCGAAGACAAAGCTTTTCGCCATTCCGCCTCTGTCGCACGCGCTGACTCCAGCGCTGTAGCTGATGACGTTGGGCTCCAACTTTGTCTGTCACATCGCTTAGCAGCGACAGCGCCTGAAACCTTGGCCACGGCCCAGCGCGTCGCTAACGGCCCGTACGTCGCACTTGTGGCTGCGGAAGGAATCCAGGAAGTGAAGGCAGGTTTGCGGGTCGTGCCGAAGCGGGTCGAGCGCGCCTTTATTACCAGGCGCGGCCTGCTGCGTGGCAAAAGCGTGCCAGGTGCCTGTGAACATTGTCCCCAGGGTGACTTGAAGCAGCCTTATCGCCTCGCCGGGTGTCTCCCCCGGAAGGTCCCACTGGATGGTGCCGATCTCTGCTTTGTGCAGCTGCTGTCCCGTGTCGGGGTCTGAGGGCTCTGGCCAATGGCGCGGCTCTGGCCATTGGCGCTGCCGCGTGTTCTGGCCGCAAGTCTCCGGCGAACCAGCCCCGCTGTCCTGGACGGAGGGCTCGGGATCTGTTCGCGACAACTCCGGTTGCACGCCTGGCGGGGCCTTGCGGGAGGGTGCGGGCCGCATAGTTGGACGCCAGGCAGGGGCCGGATCGCCTCCGGCAGCCCGGGCGGACGTTGTCCTGGGATGTGCGGGGAGAGGCCCCCCACCCTACAATTGCTCGCCCAGAACCAGCCCACGCCCGCCTCCTGGCCCACATCTTGGCCACGGCCTCCCCAACCCAATGTCTGTCTTTGGGGCCCCCCACCCTACAATCTCTCGCCAGCCCACGCCCCCCTCCAGGCCCCGTCCTGGCCACGGCACCTCCCGACCCACAGACCCTGTTCTTGGAACCCCCCACCCTGCAACTTCTCGCCCAGAAACAGCCCACGCCCCCCTCCTGACCCCCATTCTGGCCACGGCACCTCCCGACCCAGTCTCTGTTCTTGGGGCCCCCCACCGTACAATTTCTCGCTCAGAACCAGCCCGCGCCCCCCTCCTGGCCCTCCTCTTGGCCACTGCACCTCCCAACCAACAGTCTCTGTTCTTGCCGGGTTCTGTGCGCCCCACAGGCCGACCCTTTTGGGCCATCTGGGGCCCTCTTGGGTCTCTCTTGGCCTGTGTTGGGGCTCCGCGGGGGCGTCTGGGGCATTGTGAAGACGAAGCCAGCGAGTATGCTGAAAATGTACGTTTTACGAAGGGAGTGGGCCGATGTTTGCCTCTTGAAGGCCCTCTTGGGGCCCTCGTCGGCCATCCTTGGGGCGCTCTTGGGCATCTTCGGGGCCTCTTGAGGCTTTCTTGACCATCTGTACGGCCCGCGTGGCCTGTCGTGGGCAATTTGGAAGCGGCCCGGGGCAGTCCCGGGGGGTCTGTGACCCCCCAAAAGATCCGGGGGACGCCCATAGGGGATGATGGCACCAGCCCCGCCCCCCCCCGGCCTACTCTCTCTCTCTCTCTCTCTTTCTCTCTTTTTTTTTTTTTTCTCTCTCTCTCTCTCTCTCTCTCTCTCTTATATATATATATATGCCAGAAACATTCGCGCGCGCTCTGCGCGCGCTCTGTTTCTAGGTAGCTTGAGGCATAGGGAAGTGCAAAGTGGAACATGCTTGACTCCTCACTCTCCTCCTGCCCTGCTTTCCTCACTCGTCTCTTCGTGGCTATCGTTCTCCGTCCTGTTTCCTCCTGCCTTCTTCTGTTTTCTGTTGCTTCCCCAACCCTCGTCCACATTATGGTATCCTCGTCCCTCGTCCCTCCCTCGCCCTCGTATTTTCGCTTCTCCTGCCTCACCCTGCCTTTGACCTCTCCGCTTCTCTCTACATTTCATCCTCGTCAAGAGGCCCCCCCAAGACGGCCCAGGAAGACCCCACGAGTCCCAAGGCGGTCCCGAGATGCTCCTGAGACGGCTTCAGAAGAGCCAGACAACTTCACAATGCCCCAAAACGGCCCCAGGAGGTCCCAAAACGGCACCCAGGAGGTCTCAAGAGACCCCCAAGAAGCTCCCAAGAGGCCCCAAGGAATCCACGCATGGACTGGACCGCGCGTGGTTTGGACGTGCACCCCGCGAAGCGAGGACTGAGGCAGCCAGCAAGGAAGACGGAGGAGACGGGAGGATGGATGACCAGGAGGCAAGATAGGTAGGCAGATCGGAGGAGGATATGAGGAACAGGAGGCAAGATACAGTCGGGGCGTTGACCTAAGGAACTCTAAATAAGGAACGAGGCCCCTGTTTTTCCATAAGTTAAACTTCGATTCCCCATCGACAACCTAAGGACAACCTAAGGCAAACTGCGAAACAATTAAGGAACACGGAGCCCCTCCCCAACGAAAAGGGTTCCTTGTTCAGCGCCCCGACTGTATGTCGGAGGCAGGATGGAAGGAGGAACGGAGCACAAGAGAGCCCAAAGACGGCCCCAACAAAGGCGCAACAACGGGAGCCCGAACCGACGATTCGAGCTTTCCGCCCGAAGATGCGCCCAGGAGACCTCAATACGCCTCCGAAAAGCTCCGAGAGCCCCCCCCACCCCCAAGACGCCCCCAAGAGGCCCCACAGCGAGCCCCCCAAAGGCCTCAAAACCTGCTCTCAAGAGGTCCCCGATGGGGCCCCATGAAACGGTTCCAGGGCAGTGGTCGCGGGACGAGAGCCCCGAGATGGCCCGAGAGGTCTCCACGACGGCCCAAGAAGCTCCTCCTCCTCCTCCTCCTCCTCCTCCTCCTCCTCCTCCTCCTCCTCCTCCTCCTCCTCCCCTCCCCCTCCTCCCTCCTCCTCCTCCTCCTCCTCCTCCTCCTCCTCCTCCTCCTCCTCCTCCGGGGAGGGCCCCGACGGGAATGCGTGAACGGACATCTTATCTTGAGCTCTCGGCTTCGACCGGGTTCCAGGAAGCCCCCCAAGAACCCCCAGGGGGTGCCCAAGATGCCCGAAGAGTTGCCCAACTCTTCCAGGAAACCCCACGAGCCCCATAAAGCTCTCCAGAAACTCCCACGTGGCTCCCAACGGCCCCACCATTGCCGCCTCCCCCAAAGAGACCCCAAGAAACTTCCATAAAAATCTAGACGCACAATCCAGACACAGTGGCGGGATGGGCCGAAGGCCGTTCGACATTCGACGGCGTGGGAGCCCGCACAGAGCCTTCTCCTCCTCCTCCTCCTCCTCCTCCTCCTCCTCCCTCCCTTCTCATCCTTTGGCTCCTCCCTCTCCCACGTCCTCCTCCTCCTCCTCCTCCTCCTCCTCCTCCTGCTCCTCCAATTCCTGTCACCCGAACGGGCATCATTTTCATGACTTGCATTTCAGGATGCATTGACGGCGCGCGCGACACAGTCAGCACTCACGGAGAACGCTGACATCGGCAATTTCTTTAAGCACGTGTCACTGCGCTGATAGGCCTGCCAACTACGCGCAGTGAAACCAAGATTCGCGCAATCCGCGCACAGCACGCGCTTCTACTTCGTCTTTAGATTTTATTGCACTTGTCCCTTCTTCAAGTTTTTCGAGACCGAGAAAATCTCCTCGCAAACCGCGCACGTAAGCGGCTTCGTTTTCGCAATTGCTTTCTGCTCGCGATTGGTTGCCCGTCGCGTCAACTTGATTTCTATCCTTGTTTCGGATCTCTGGACCCACGTTTGGTACATCTCTCTCATCCCTTTGTACTCCTCCAAGCTCCACCACCTCGCCCTCGCGTTCATCGACATCATCACCATCACCATCACCGTCAGCACAACATCATCACATCATCCTAGACGCCCCCTAAACACCGTATGGAACGAACTGCAGTTAGGGGGGTTGGCGGATGTGGCGCAAGCCTGTAGACTATGCTTATGCCGTTTATTGATTCTTCGGAGAGCAGAGAGCAGAGCATCAATACGATACCAGGATGAGGATAACACCGGGTTAGAAGACATCGAAAACCTCTGAGATCCCGCGGCTTTGGAAGATGCCTCGGGCGCCGCGGCCGCCTCAGAGCCTTCCGGAACGCTCTGGAGCGGACTTGCCCTCGTCCAGGCCCCGTGCGAAGCAGAGCGGGCTACCGCCCGTCGGGGCGGCGGCGGCGGCTTGCGAGGCCGGCGCGGAGGCGAGGAGGCGCGCGAGGGACGGGCGCGAGCGCGAGCGCGACGAGGCGAGGGGGCAGGGCAGGCACCCTCCCGCGCAGCTCTGGCGCCTCGAGGTGGACGCGGTCTGCCCCGGCAATTGTGCCGCCTCGCCCCGGGGGGGCGGGCAACGGGTGGGCAGTGGACTGTCGAGGGAGGAGGGAGGGGGGAGAGGGAGGGAGAACGGGAGGAGGAGGAGGAGGAGGAGGAGGAGGAGGAGAAGGAGGAGGAGGAGGAGGAGGAGGAGGAGGAGGAGGAGGAGGAGGAGGAAGGAAGAGGAGAAGGAGGAGGAGGAGGGAGGAGTGGAGGAGGAGGAGGAGTAGTAGGAGTAGCTAGCCAGCTCGAGCGAGTCAAGCATGGCATGCCCAGTCCCACCCGCCCTCCCACAACATAAGAAGCAAAGCTGGCACAACTGGGGGCCGAAGTCACACCGGCCAGCCGGTTTGGTACAGCTGATGCGGCCGCGATGGCGGTTGCCGACGGGAACTGGCGAGCGCGTGTTGAATGCCGCGCACGCATTGCCAGACGAGTCGAGAATGGCCCGGTACACCGCAGGAAGCCAGAGGTGGCCGGAGGAAGCCCGACGGTCTGACAGGACACCCCAAAGCATTTTTGTGAAAAAGCATTGGGTTTTTGATGTTTTTATGTTGAAATGCTTGCAAACACACGGTGTTCGGTAGGATTCTGACATGAACGCGCGAGTGTGCTCTTTGTGGTATTTTTTGCACAGGATTCGCGGCCTGGGTGCATGACAGAGCATCGCGAGTGCACCGCGCGATGACGTGAAATCGCTGGATTTGACAGAATTCTTAAGATTCCTATGGTTTTCCTATGATTTCAGCAAGAGAGCCCGGGCGGGAAATTTGTACAATTTTTGTGAAAAAGCATTGGGTTTTTGATGTTTTTATGTTGAAATGCTTGCAAACACACGGTGTTCGGTAGGATTCTGACATGAACGCGCGCGTGTGCTCTTTGTGGTATTTTTTGCAATGGATTATCGCCGTGGACGACAGCACGTCCATGCCGAGAGGAAAAAATAAGAAACATGTTGATTTTGTATTGTTTTTTACAGGTTAGGATGGGACCACCCGGATGCGCCCGCTATCTGCCGGCCTGAGGGGGGAGTAGGAGTATATTCTAATAAGGAATAAGGATATGAGGAGGAGGAGGAGGAGGAGGAGGAGGAGGAGGAGGAGGAGGAGAAGGAGGAGGAGGAGGAGGAGGACGAGGAGGACCTCCCCATCCTCCCTTCTGCTCGGCCTACCCATTGAAGATTGGCCCATCATGAGTGGAGGGGGTGGGGAGGGTGAACGGCCCCCTCGTCCCCTTTGTCTTCCCCCGTCCTCGTCACCCTCGTCCTCCTCATGGCCCTCGCCTCCGCCCCCGTCATCCCCCACGCCCCCTGCCCTCTCTTCCCAACCTCCTTCCTCCCCACCCACCCCCTCGCCCTCCCGCCCTCCCATGCCCCCCCCCCCCGTCCGCGACGATTTCTACATCGCGTCCCTCCCGGTGGCATCGGGACTCCTCTCCAGGGCCACTCCCAGCAACAACAGTCATCAACACCAACCCAAAATAGGATCCATGGAGAGCCCCCCCGCGCGAAGTCGCGCCTCGGCTCCGCCGTACACCCCGGGATCCTTCCCCTGCGCCAGCAGTTCGCTCGGGGAAGGCTTCCCGCGCGGGCAGGCCGCCGGCGCTCGGGGCACCAGGAGGCGCGCGGTGCCCGAGGCTGCCTCGACACTGGCCCCCTCGCTTCCCCCGCCCCCGCCCCTCCCCACCTTCGCGCGCCTCTGTCCCTCCTCGTTGTCATCTGCCTTCCTCCTCGCCCCCGCCCTCGCCGTCATCCCCCTCTCGTCCCTCCCCTCCCTCGACGCTTTTCGTCCCTCCTCCTCGTCCTCCTGGTTTTCTGTCCCAGGTCCCCTCCGCCTCTCTCTATCCTCCATCCTTCCCTCTCCCTCCTCCGTTTCCCCCCCCACCCCCCCTCCTCTGTCCTCCGCCCTCCTCTGGCGCCGCTCCTCCGCCGCAGCAGCTGCAGCTGCCTTCCTCGTGGCCTCTACTGACACGCTCAGGCTCCATAGTGCCGTAGCACTTCCAGACACCGTCTCAGTGTCGCAGCAGCTCCACCACGCCTTCTGCCTCGAGGCCTCTACTGACCGCTCGCTTCTGCGCCTCCCCCCCTTCGGGAGAGAGAGAGAAAGAGAGAGAGAGAGAGAGAGGGCGAGGTACGCGGTACTTCGGGAACGCCCCTTCTCGCAAGCCGGCGGCGCAGAGGATCCTCGGGCGCGGGCAGCAGATGGAAGTGCGAAGTGCGATCGAGCATCGTCGAAAGCACCGTTCGGGGACGCCCCACTTTCTCGCCATCGCTCGGACGTCCATTCCCTGTGTTTTTTTTCGGTTTCGTGCGTGTTTTTTTCGCCAAATGATCAAGGATGCTCCTCGATGGTCCCCGCCGAAGGAAAAATGCACACGTCCGAGAGATGCCAAGGCCACGTGGGCCCCTAGGGGGCAGATCGCGGCGGCCCCCGGGTGCCGAGAAACTGCCGCCAGGGCGGGCTGCACCGACGGTCGCCTCGGGCGACCATGCGCGCGGGCGGGGCGGCCAGGGCTGCTCGGGCGCAGGCGGGGGAGGAGGAGAAGCAGGAGGAGCGGGCTGCAGTCAGGGCCGTCTGGGCAGAGGGAGAAGCGGGGGCAGAAAGAACAAAGGACGACATAAGCATAAACTTTCGGAGCTACGTGTGGATTTCTTGGATTTCGCTGGATTCCCCCTCCCTGCAGCGCGGCGTGCGCGGGGGGGGGGGGGGGCCCAGCGCAGATCCAAGAGTTCCTCGCGGAGTTCGGACAATGTTTGATTGTGTGTTTTCTCTTCTTCGAGGGGTGGGGGGAAGCGCCGCTGTGCTCTGCATACGAAGGCAGTCAAAACATGATCGATCCATGAAGCCAGGAAGGGATTTAGACCTGCGAGGCATGGGAACGGGAACGTTTCCAAGCACCTCAATCGGCCGATGGCCAGTAGCAATGCTGAAGATATCGGTGATGATGATGATGCTGCTGATGATGATGATGGTGATGGTGATGGTGATGATGGTGATGATGATGACGGTGGTGATGATGATGGTGATGATGACGGTGATGATGATGGTGGTGATGATGATGATGATGACGATGATGTGAGAGAGAGCGTGATCCACCGCCGCTTTACTGTGGAAAATTCCCCCCCTCTTCCTCCGGAAACCGGGGTTCCCACCCCCTCCGAAAATCCCCCCCCCCCCCCTCTCCCTGGCAACCCCCCCCCTCCCCTAACCCCCCCTCCCCTCCGGAAAACCGAAGGGGGTCACTACCGGTTCGAACCCCCTCCCCCCTCCGGAAAACCGGAAAACCGGGGAGGGTCACTACTGGTTTGAACCCCAACCCCCCCCCCCAGAAGACCAGAGAGGGGTCACTACCGGTTCGAACCCCTCCCCCCCTCCAGAAAACCGGGGGGGAGTCACTACCAGTTCGAACCCCCCCCTCGAAAACCAGGGAGGGTCACTACCAGTTCGAACCCCTCCCCCCCCCACGCTCACCGCCAACAAACGACTCCCGGGTCCCTACCACCGTCCGCACCACATCCCCCACTGCTGTCCCCAGCACCTCTGTCCTCACCACCACTCCCCGCTGTTCCCACCACCGTCCTCACTGTCTCTACCAGTGCCCCCACCACTGTTCCCACCACGGTCCCACTCTCTCTACTTTCCCGACGGCCTCAACCACTGTCCCACTGTCCCCACTGTCCCACTGTCCCACTGTTCCCGCCGCTGTCCCACTGTTCCCACCACTGTCCCCAATCCCCACCACTGTCCCCACTGTACCTCTGTCCCATTGTTCCACCGCCGTCCTCGCCACCGCCCTCACCACTGTCCCCACCACCACTGTACCCTCCACTGTCCCACTGTTTCCACCACATTCCCACTGTCTCCACACCCCACCACCACCACTGTCCCGCTGTCCCCACTGTTCCCGCCATTGTCCCCGCTGTCCCCACCAGTGCCCCCACCAGTGTCTCACTGTCCCCACTCTCCCCACCATTGTCTCACCACGGTCCCACTCTCCCCACTTTCCCCACGGTCGCCACCACTGTCCCAATGTCCGCACTGTACCCACCACTGTTCCACTGTCCCGGCCGCTGTCCCACTGTGCTGTCCCACCGTCCCGACTGTCCCCACCGCTTTCCCACTGTCCCCACCACTTTCCCCACTGTACTACTGTCCCACCACTGTCCTAACCACCGCCTTCACCATTGTCAACACCACTACCGTCCCCACCACTGTCCCACTGTCCCCACCACTGTCCCGCTGTCCCCTCACCACTGTCCCCACCACCACCGTCCCCACCACTGTCCACACCACTGTCCCACTGCCCCCGCACCACCATCCCCACCACCACCGTTCCCACCACTGTCCCAGCATCCCCACCATTGTCCAACTGTCCCGAGGAGCGGGAATCGTTTGCCGGCGGCGAGAAAGGGAGGGGGGTTCGAACCGGTAGTGACCCCCTCCGGTTTGTTGTCGAGGGGGAGGGGGGGAGGGTTCGAACCGGTGGTGACCCCCCCTTTTCATGATGGACTGGGAGGGGACTTGGGGGGGGGGAGGGGTTCGAACCAGTAGTGAGCCCCCTTGGTTTTCGAGGGGGGGGGGACGGGTTGGGAACCCCAAGTGACCCCCCCCCCCGGTTTTCCGCCAGCAGCGGTAGAACACGCTCTTTCTGATATTATGCCACGGGCTCTATTGTGCTGGTGTACATACACTGTGCCGCGACGCATAGTGACGTGCCAGGGACGCGCCACGGAGCGTGCCAATGGAAGTGCCATGGGACGCGCCAAACGACATGCCGGGTTGAACTGTGCCGTGCATTATTGTATTGTGGGTCAAGCAGTCCATGGCGTCAGAATCCTGCCCGAACTGATTTGGATCTTGAGCTCGAGCTGGCTGAACGCGTAGCTCGGGCTAGTTGCAATCGTAACTCGCAGGGCGCTCGACCAGCTCGAGCTCAAGATTCGATTCAGTTCCGCAGCCCTCGGCCGAGACACCCAGACATAGAACCAGACAGCCACATGTTGGATATCTCCCTGTGAAGCCTGGACGCGTGAAGACATGGTTCCAGCTCGGGACAACTATGTTAGGTACCCCCGTGGGCGGCCTGGACACGTGGAATTGCATGGTTCCAGCTCGGGACAACCATGTTAGATATCGCCCTAGGTGGCCTGGACACATGAAAGCACGTGGTTCCAGCTCGGGACCACCATGTTGGATATCCACAGTGGTGGCCGGGACACGTGAAAAACATGTGGCTCCAGCTCGGGACCATGTTCGATACCCCAGTTGGGAATCTGGAGAATCACCAACCGAAAAAACTGTGCTAGGTTATTACACAGTTGGTGTAACTGTATTGGTTTTGTCTGGCTCTTGTGGGCCCCCACGTTGGGGGCACCCAAACGACCACATGTTCGATTCTCCCGTGGGTGGCCCGCATACGTGAACAAAAACACGCGTTCTGGGTAGGCGCAACGTGGGTCCCTTTCGCCCCAGAACGTAGCAATCGTGAAAACGCATGAGCTCCTTTCCGCCCCAGAGCGGAGCATACTCGCCCCAGAGCGGAACAAGAGTGAAAACAGGTGGGTCCCTTTCGCCCCAGAGCGGAACGATCGTGACAGCACGTGGGTGCCTTTCGCCCCAGAGCGCAGCAAACGTGAAAGTCCATGGGTCCCTTTCGCACGAGAGCGAAGCAAGCGTGAAAACACGCGAGTCCACTTCGCAATAAGCGCGAAAAAATGTGGGTCCCCTCCAGGAAGCCCCAGGGGGTCTCCCCAGAGCCCCAAGACGGAGCGTGCCAAGTTATCATGCATCTAGTGCCAACTCGTTGAGTTCGCTGTGCTTTTGTGCGCTTCCCCTCACACTTGGGAGAGGGGGACCGCCCCTGGATGGCCAGAGGACGCGCGACAACACGTGGGCTCGACCCAGGGCGGAATGAGGGTGAAAGCACGTGTGCTCCTTTCGCCACAGAGCGCAGCAAGCGTGAAACCGCATGGGCTCCTCTCGCCCCAAAGCAGCGGAGCAGGCTCGCCCCAGAGCGGAACAAGGCGCTAAACCACGTGGGCACCTTGCGCCCCGAGCGCAGCAGGTGTGAAAACACGTGGGTGCCTTTCGCCCCCGAGCAGAACAAGCGTGGAAGCGCGTGGGTCCCTTTCGCCCCCAGAGCGGAACAGGCGTGAAAAAACACGTGGGCGCCTGCGCCCCCAGAGCGCAGCAAGCGTGAAAACAAGTGGGTGTTTTCACGCTTGCTCCGCCCTGAGGCGAAAGGGACCCACGTGTCTTCACGCTTGTTCCGCCATGAAACGAAAAGGACTGGGGCAAAAGTGACGGCCTCTCCACTTCTCCAAAACGAGCGTTTCGCTCGAGTTTTCCTCATCATTTCTGCGCGCAGGACGCGCCATCCTCGAGCGGGGACACGCAAGCATCAACATTTCCATACTTTTTGCATCAACAAGTTGGTCTCCAGACCAAATTCTTTATCGCGGATTCTGCGGAACACGCACCGTACCACTTTTAACGAGGGAAAGCGAAGGTCAGCGGACCTCGTTATTTACCTCTGATCCGACATGACGGTGGCACGCTTTTCTCGAGCGGGCACGCGCGAAGCGAATGTTTCAGAAACAACATGGGCCTTTACCTAGTCATTTGTTGCATCTCAGTTCGCCGGCCCACCCCCGACATGGCACTGGGGACATATTTCGGGTCGGGCGAAAGGGGGGGATTGGGAAAGGGGGGGTTACGAAATTTGCTGCATGCAGCTGATTTTGGCCTCGCCGAGGAGCCCATTCCTCGATACATAACCGCCTCCGGCGCCGGGAGGCGCCGGGAAAATCAGCTACGTGAGCTGATTCTCAAACCCCCCCTTTGCTATCCCCCCCTTTCGCCCGACCCGAATATTACCATCATGAAAGAGAATCCTGGTCCCGAGCCCTTTCCGGGAAATACCGCCCAGCATAATGCCGCTCTGTCTGCGCCGCGGCAAGCACCACGCAACCATCCTCTCGGCGCTCCAGCGGGAACGTGCCGGCGAGTGTCATTAGGCGGCTCCAGCGGAGGAGAACTCGAGACACAATCCCACCGGCCCTCTTGGCGTAGGTGGTCTAACAATGGGGCCAGACCTAGGACAGAATAACATGAGGCCCTCCGCTGGCCAACCACACAGAGAACATCCAAGGGTACCCTCCCCCAGGATGCTCAATATCATCCAACACATACGTAAAACATTAGGGTACCCTCCCCGAGCCGACCTCGATCTCAAACCTCGGTCCGACTGTAATTATCTTCCCTCTTCCAAGACCCCTTCTCTCCCCCTTGGGCAGGGGCTTATCCCTCCCTCTGCCCCCTCACTCCCTCCCTCACTCCCTCCTTCCTCGTCCTCGTCCTCGTCCTCGTCCTCGTCCTCGTCGTCCTCCTCCTCCTACAGGCGGACCGTGGAGGAACAACAATCATCAAATCATAACCAAAAATGATACCAGAGAAAAAACCCAATCAGAATTTTTGGGGGGCTATGGGGCTTTAGGGCTATGGGGCTATAGGGCGATGTGGCCATAGGGATTTAGGGCAAGAAGCCTTTAGGGCTATGGGGCTATAGGGCTACAGGGCTAGCTATAGGGCTGTCGGGCTAAGGGCTATAAGACTATTCGGGCTATAGGGCTATAAGGCTACAGGGCTATATACGGCTATAGGGCGTTAGGATCATAGGGCTATAGGGCTATAGGGCTATAGGGCTATGGGGCTATGGGGCTATTTGGGCTATTGGGCTATTGGGCTATAGGGCTGTACGGCTATAGGGCTATAAGATTACAGAGCTATGGAGATATAGGGCGATTGGGCTATTGGGCTATAGGGATATAGGGCTATTCGGCTAGGCACCCCCGGGCACTTCTGGGCACCCCGGGCACCCGGGCACCCCTGGGCACCCGGGCACCCCCGGGCACCCGGCCCCGGCCACCGAAATCGGCCACACACCTGGGCACCCGGGCACCCCGGGGCACCCCCGGGCACCCGGGCACCCGGGCACCTGGGCACCCCCGGGCACCCCACAGACTACCAAACCCTTTAATCCGCTAGGACCCCTATAGAGGCAAGCTCTGGTTGGGGGAATACTCGAAACATCATTCCCATACTATTCTTGACTATTTTGAACTTTCCTCCTGTAGAGGGACTTGCCCGACTTAAAGATATCCGAAAATGGCTCAACAAGGGTACCTAACTTCGCGCTTCGCGCTGCGCGAAACACTTCGCGCTCTCGCGCCGCCCCCCCAAGGGGAGAGGAGGAGGATGAGGACTCGGAGCCGAACAACGAAGCGCGAAGGACTTCGCGCCCTCGATGGCGCCCTTGCGACATGCCTCCAAGATGCCGCAATGGTCCCACAAGACGGCTCCGAGCGCTCCGGGAATCCCAGTATCAGGACTTTCCATCTTAAGGAGCCAAACTCCGCCAAACAACCAACTAACCAATGGTTTTTGCCTTCTTACCTTTTCGCTTCCGATGCGGTTTGAGGCCTGGCCCCGAAATGGCCCAAAAGAGCAAGACGCCCACCAGACGGTGCCAAAATTGCCCCCAACCGCCCCCAGGGGCTTTGTGTTCATAGCCCCTACAAGGAGGAGGCACATCGGGGATCCTACCTCTTTTGATCAACGCCCTCCAAGATGGCCCCAAGAGGCCATTCAAGGCTATCAAGGAAGCCCCCGCGACCCCCCAAAAGAACCCCAAGAAAACCGCAATACTTTCCACAATAGCCCCAGGAGGGCCGCGAGAGAGCCTCACGAGGACCTAAGAGGGCCTCCAGAAGACCCTGGGATGGCCGCCAGAATCTTCCTCCTCCTTCTCCTCTTCGTTCTCTTCCTGGTCGCCCTCCTCCTCTTCCTCCCCTCCCTCCTCCTCCTCGTCCTCGTCCTCGTCCTCGTCCTCCTCCTCGTTCTCGCCCTCGTCCAGGGTCAGATCAGGCTGATTGCGAACTTGTTCCGCTGTGTGTTTCAAATTAAACGCTGTCCTGACCAAGGCATCCCGCCCAAGCATCGTTTATTTTTTTTGGGGGGGGACATGATCTAGCGGAAACATTTTTTTTGATTCGCGGCCCGCAGGGAAAAGTCCAGAGGGCGGTGTGAACGAGGCTGGGACGCAGCGCGCGATAATTAGCGCGAGAACGCGCGGAATGCACATGCAAAAACAAATTAGGAAGAGAGGCGGCCACAGGTGGGCAACCAAGGAACACAGGCCGGACCAGCAGGTGGGAAGCCAGACCGGTACCCTGCCAGAAAATAACCGAGCGAAGCACAGGGCAGAAGCCAGAACAGTTCCATGCAAACACTGGGCAGGTGCCAGCGGGAGAGAGGCAGCCACAGGTGGGCACCCACAGAACACAGTCCGGACCCGCAGGTGGAGCGGACGAGTCGACCCGAGTGAAGCGGGCCAGAGAAAGGGTCAGAGAAAGGCAGCAAAGGCGGCGACGAGAGAAACGAAGGGAGGAACCAGGTCTCACACACAGAACACCACACGTGTTCGACGCACACCGCGACTCCCTCCTGAGTTCGAGGCTGAAGCCAATTAACCAGGGGCCTGAGGACCTGCGGACGTCGAGGGTATCCGAGCGTGGCCCGTAACGAGCGACACAGGCGGCCGAGGACCCAACATAATGATGACCACTTCCGTCGCCGACGATGGGGGGAAGCCACTTAGCATACAACTGGACTTCAAACGGTGAAGCACGAGGGGGGCCTTCAGCCAATGCCTCTGCACCACGGCCCGCACTCAACTCGGGCAAAGAAGCTGGGTGGGGTTATTTCAGCCGACCGCAGGAGCATGAACCCACGTCAACGTCGCGGGTGTCTATGCACAGTGTAGTGCCCCTCGAACCCAGGAGGTGGCACAAGTCCGTGGCCAGAGCCATCCACTGCAGGCGGGGACAGATGGGGCGACGCCTTCAGCCAGTCGACCCGGTCCTCCACGGGCCGCAACGCGGCCAAAAACCGTGGGTGGGGTTATTTCAGCCGACCGCACGGGCTAGGAACCCATGATCTAGCGGAAACACGCGAAGCTTCAAGACTTGCTGTGGAGGGGGGTAGCTAGAATAACAAAACACGGCGTAAACATAAACTTTGACGGTCCACGCGGATGTCTTGGATCTGCGCGGAGCGCGCCAGGGGCGGCGCCGCAAGCGCCGCCATGGGGGCCCCAACGCAGATCCAAGACATTCGCGCGGAGCTCCGAGAGTTTAGATCTCTGCCGTCTTTTCTTCGAATAAGGGCGGGGAGGAACAGGAAGGAGGATCAGGTAAGGAAGGGGGAGAATGAGGATGGCGCAGACGAGAGAAGGATCGAGGAGAAGATGCGGCTCCTGGGCAGGGGCACGTCCAGAGGGCGGGCGGCGCATCGCAGCGTCTCCAATAGTCTCGTCTCTCGTACTTGTTCGCGATCCAGAGCTTGATCTTATCGCGGGAGTCGCCATCGCGAGGTCGCTGATAGTCCTGCCGTGAGCCCCCCCCTCCCCTCCTTCTCGCTCTCTCCTCCTTCTCCATGCTCCCCTCCTTCTCCCTCTCCCCTCCTTCCCCTCGCATCTCTCCATGCTCTCTCCTCGCATGTCTCCATGCTCCCCTCCCCTCCTTCTCGCTCTCGCGCTTCTCGAGCCGTCTCCTTCCTCCGTGCCCTGTCCTCCCTTCCCCTTGCTGGACCTGGCGAGTGCCGGGTCAACGCTTTTCGATTCGGCGTTTCGACACTGAGCGGCGGAATGGGGGGGGGTCTGTCTCAAGACCTCTGCTTGGTGCGACTGCTTGCGACAATGCGTCCTATGGGGGAGGGACTCCCGCGCCGATCGGCAAAACAATGAATAAGGAACCGCTGACCAGAACTTCAACATCGGACTGCTTAGGCCACGAAACCATGGTGCCAATGGCAGTGCACGCCAACATCACTAAACGACTGCTTATATGCACTCCGAATCCGCTATCGTGCCTTGAGCACGTCGTGGAGTGCCTCAGAAACCATGCGCGCCAGAGGGGCCACAAGTCTTTCAGGGGCCTGGACCGCCAGTTTGCCAGAATCCTCGGGCGCTCCTGGGCCCTGCTGTCGGCGGCGCGCCCAGGGGGGAAGCGAGAGGGGGCAGGCCCTCTCAGAAGGCGGCGGGGCTTCGGGTCAGGCCGAGCAAGCCCGTCAGAAAGCCAGACGCCGTCGGAGCCTTCTGAGAAAGCTGGTCCCCTCTCAGACGCCTGGTTGCTCTTGGGTCACAACTCGGCCCTCGGGTGGCCGTTCGGGACGATCTGGGCACGCCCAGAACGCCCTCGGCGAGGCGCAGCCGCTGGAATGCATCTGGAGGCTGGAACACCGCCGAGAACCGACGAACACGCCCTCGAACCTCGAGCCGTCGGAGCCTTCTGAGAAGGCCCGCCTCCTTCCAACTGACTGGAGGGGGGGGGGGGAGGGAGAAGGGAGCAGGGACAGGGAGAGGGGGAGGGAGGAGGGGGAGAGGGAGGAGGAGGGAGCAGGCCCTATGTCGGAGCCCTCCCCCCCCCCCACGGGCGCGCCGCCGATTCCGGGCCCTTCCGGGGCGTGGCGCGCGCGAGCCTTCCGGGGAGACTCAGTGAGGCACCCGAGCTCGGCCATCGGGAGCGGCCAAGAGGGGGGTGTCCAAGAGGGGGGGGTGCGAATCATGGCCGGCGGCATGTGCGCGGCCCAGCGGGGAGGCCTGGGACGTAATGAAATAAGAGGCGCCATGAAATCTGGGGAACTATCGTGGCCCCCGCCATGATATCCCCCCCCGGGCCCCCCCTCTAGTCATCACCCCCCTCTTTTCTGCTCCCGAGGCCAGCGAGCCTGGCCTCGGAGCACGTGCTGCTCGGCGTGGGGGCCCGGGATCTGCTCGGGGGAATTGCTTGAGTCCAAATGGCTACGGAGGGAGAGGGATGGAGGAGGAGGAGGAGGAGGAGGAGGAGAGGAGGAGGAGGAGGAGAGAGGGGGCAGGGGCAGGCAGCACAGGGCGGGCAGAGAGCAGCAGCTCCGCAGCTGGGCCTCCTGGCGCCTCCTGGCGCCCCTGTGTCGAGGAATGGCAGATTTACCCCTCCCCCTCCTCCCCTCCTCCTCCTCCTCCTCCTCCTCCTCCTCCTCCGCCTCCGCCTCCGCCTTCTCCTCCTCCTCCGCCTCCGCCTCCGCCTCCGCCTCCTCCTCCTCCTCCTCCTCCTCCTCCTCCTCCATCTCCTCCCCGATCTGTCCTGCCCAAGGCGACCCCAGGAGCCTCCCGAGCCGCCTCCCCCTGTCGGGCCCCGCCCACCCCGGAGGCCCTCTGGAGACCCCACGGAGGCCCCCAGAGCGCAGCGGCAGCAGGCCGGAGACTGGTACCAAATCCGCCGCCCCCGGAGCCTGCAGGAAGGGCGCCTGGCATGCTCTCCAATGCGCCACTGCCCTATGCCTTCCGTGGCTCGACGGGTCGGTCGACCCAAATCGTGCCGTCCACCAATTTCGAGCACGGTTCGGCGGGTCGATCGTCGCCCTCCCAATCCTCCGATCGAGCACCATCTATTGTCCAATGCTTCCGGGCGCGACTGCGCACGCTCCAACCAGGCACCTTACAACCGAACACACTTTCAACCCTCTGATCGGAAACCATCCATGCTTCCACACGCGACTACCTTCCAATCGAACACGGCCGACCGTCTCGTCTGGGTGATTCGTGGCTCGTGCCTGACCCCTCTCACCCTCCCTCGTCATGACGCCTGCACTCGCTTCGACGCTGCATGCCCTGGCATGCCCACCACGCGAACAGAGCCTCGCCCATGCGTTCAGCACACTTTCTGCGTCGGCGGCTAGGCAGGGGTCGTCTGCGCTGGCTGAAGGAGCTATAGTGGAGGCCAGTCCACAAGAAACCTTCCACGAGAAACACGACCCCGAGACCCCAGGACGTCCATCGATCTTGGTGTGGGAACGCCGCGCCGTCCATGGCTAAACCATCGAAACCCAAGAATCCCAGGGCATCCTGGAGGCAAGCAGGGTGTTCCTTGGCATGGGCCCCTACTCCCAGACCCCCGACGTCGTGACTTTTTCGAAATGTCGACCCCCAGAGGTCTGAACCCCTTCCTCAGGAACCAATTTTCCATCCTGCGTCGTTCTTTGACGGTCCCGAGGCCCGGTGAGGGCCCCCGGGGCCGAAAATGACGAAAAGCCTCCCGTCGTAGTTTTTCCCTCCACCGTGCCTTCTTCCTCCTCTGGGTGCCACCAGCGTCAGCAGGGTCCCCACTGTGACTGTACGGGGGCACCGCTGTGGCGAGTTGGCCAGCACGCAGGAGCGGGGAGGAAGGGTCGGGGATCAATCCAGACCCGGGTCAATCCAGACCCGGGTCAGCCAGGACTGGAAGAATCCTGCAAGATCCTGCAGGATCCTGCACACAAGCCCGGGTCAATGCGACCCTAGGCCGACCCCCGTTGGCATTGACCCCCGTCTCAAGGCTCCCGAAGGGGACCCGCGCGAGCGCCCCCCCGGGGCTGGGGGGGGGGAGGCAGGGCGAGGGCCACCCGAGGGGGGGCGGCTCCTCCTCCTCCTCCTCCTCCTCCTCCTCCTCCTCCTCCTCCTCCTCCTCCTCCCCCTCCTTCGTCTCCTTCATCGAGCCTCGCCCTCCCCGGGTGCGCTGGTGCGTTCAGTACCACGCCAGGGCTGGACCCGAACGCTGCTCTTCGTTTCGGTGTCGTTTGGCTCTTCGTTCTGCTCCGCCGGCTTCCCCGTGTCTCCCTGCCAGAACGAAAAAGAAGGCACCGCCGACATCCAGCAACACAGCGTTTAGTACACGCAGATAAAGACACGTGCAAGCACGGGGCTCCTTCGGCAACCTGCCCTCGTAGTAGCAGTTCGAGCTCCGATTGCCGATCTGCGCGGCAGAGGGCGCACGTAACGTGTGCACACGCCGCCCTCTTTTTCGTCGTCGTCCTCCTCCTCCTCCTCCTCCTCCTCCTCCCTCTCCTCCTTTAGCTCGACCTCTCCTCTTCCTCTCCCCTTCTCCTACTTCTTCATCTGCTCCTCCAGACTTTCGTGATACTTCTCCTCCTCCTCCTCGCCTCCTCCCGCGCAACGACGTACAACTCCTCACGGCATATCGCTGGGGATAGCAAAGTAGGCTGGTCGCCAGCCGTGTTGACCCATGCACATCGCAAGCAACGCACCGCCATCCCTTCTCTCCTCTCTTCTCTCTTCCTGCTCCTCTCGTCTCTTGTCTTGTGCTTCGTCCCGCGTCGTCGTCTTCCTGCGTTACTCCTGCGTCTTGCTCTCCTCTCCCTCACCCTCTGGCTCTTCCTCCTCCCCCTCCTCCTCCTCCTCCTCCTCCTCCTCGTACTCTTCGTGCACGTCATCGCCCTAGTCTTTCTCTTCGTCACTGGTCCCCGCTTCCTCCTCCTCTGCGGAGGCACGCGAAGAGCGCACTATGCTTCTCTCACTCCTCCTCCTCCTCCTCCTCCTCCTCCTCCTCCTTCTCTTCTCGCCTTGCTCTCCCCCTTCTCTACCACAACCATGAGTACCTCCTCCTCCTTCTCCTCCTCTTCTGGCACTGAGCACAACAAACAATATCGCACGATCGTCATGTCGGCGGGCCGCAGAACAAGTAGCAATCCACTTCTCCGGCCACCTGTCCAGGGTGGTGGACTTGACCGTGGAAATGTGCGTCCCCAGGCTTCTGGCACAAGGAGAGAACATGTCGATGGAGGAGGAAGAGCGAGTTGGAGACGAGGAAGACGAGTGAGGATAATAGGGGAGAGAGGAGGGATCATGATGAAGGAGGAGGGCTAAGGGTTTCGGAGCATTGATGGGAGCAGGAGCAGGGGGAGGGAGAGGGAAGAGAAGCGGAGGGAGGTGTGGCCAGGGGGGACGGATGCAGGGGAAACGGAGGGAAGACGAAGCATGGCGCTGGAAAGAAGAACAGGGGAGGGCGGGGGAGGCAGGAGGGCCGAGGAAGAAGCCGAGGGGAGAAGTGATCGGGGAGGCATGGCGAGGTGGTGGAATAGGGGATGAAGGAGATGAAGGACGGGGAGAGGGCCAACTATCTCATCCATTTCGACGGGGGGCCCGCGGCGATAGCTGTTCTGCCGCAGAAATATACATCGAAACGCATGCTTTTGCCGACGATGGCTGGCACTCTTATGCGGTATGTATGGGTGGGCTCTTCATTGAACGACCAGTGTCGTCCTTCAAAGCTGAAGCCATTTCCGTAGAGGGAGCACTCGAGATGTTAACCACTCTTCCAACCCCTGGTTGTTATTGACAGCCGACACTGAGTGAGGCGGCCGGTGCGAAGGCATCCGGGGCTCAGGAAAGAGAGAAGGAGTGGGGAGGGGCGGAAGGGCAAAAACAACTCAATGTATCCTCGCGGCCCTTGAAATCCACCGTGCGGGCAATGCCAAGGCAGCTCGCCTCGCCTGCTCCGCACACCGTCGCCTCTGGGGTGCTCGGTGATCGCCTCTGTGGGAGCGCTGGCG